GATGCAAATATTTTTCTGGGAAAAGATGTCTGATAAAAATATAATCCCTAAAGGTTGATCTTTACTTACCTGTAACATTCTTTAAAGTAACATGCTCGCCCATGTCATGAGTGCCTGGTTGTGTCTGCTTTTCATGACAGACAGTGTAAAGTCAGGAGTGAAAGTTGGGCAGTTCCAGTCAGAATCTTTTCTGGGTCTGCAACAGAGATGTAAATCTGAATTGTTCAGGGCTTTTAGCTCCACCTTCTCCACCTTCTCTCTGTTGTTTATCCCATAGGAAAATTCTTATTAACATGTAATCGTTGAGATCCTGTTTGCACCTGGCATGTAGTGAACTGTTCTTAACGTTGCATTTCATGTACAAAAAAAAAAAGCCGGCAAAGATGATGAAAGACCTTCCCTTCCAGGAGTGGTTGTGGACATTAGGCTTGCTTTTATTATGAAAGATAAGAATGCAGCAGTTCCTAAAGTTTTAGAATGGTGTAGACAGCAAGGAATAAAATCCATGAAAAATGGACCATTTTAATGGAAGAAATGACACCTACCATTTGCTGCAGCTGTTGAGATATTCAAAAAGTGCTAAACATTGCAACATACAAATAATAGTCAGGGAGATTGGGGCAGAACTTCTTTAACTCCATACTACTCTAATGATTAATTTTGTTTGTACTCATTCTCTTCCTTCAAGGTTATTCTTAATTACCAGTGTGGTAATACATGGGAATCTTTTGCAATGCTAAAGCACTTAAAGATAAGTATGTATATTTTGATTTGTTTGAAAGGAGTGATGTCTATGACAGATACAAAAAAGAAAGAATTTCTGTTCTGAGATCAGAGGTATTCAAGATAACAAAACTTGGATTTAGAAATGCACAAACCATTTCCCTTCATCAGGCTAAGCAAAGTAGGTCTGTGCGGAAGCTAATTCATGTCATGTATATAAAGCAAGTCAAATTCCAGCTACTACAAAGCTTTTATGTAAGACTTTGCTGACCCAGTAAGTGGTGGAATATAAATAGATCAACAGTACACCCTTCCTTCTGCTGTCCTACCTAATCCTTCCTTGCCTTCAGGATTGAAGAGTATTTGATCTATTGAGTCTTAAATCAGACATTGTTTCCTACAGAAAAAAAAAGAAAATCCAGGAGAATGTAAATTTAATGGTGTAAGAGTGTTCTTGTGATTTTAGAATGAGAAGCTGAATTAGGAATATACTATTGTTCTTCCTTTTTTTTTCATATATGTTAACTTCACAAAGCTGTAACTGCCTGGCTCTCTACTTGCTCTCCTTAGCTACCCTGCCAGGTGGCTTGACAAGAGCCTCTTCAGAAAGACTAATTGTGTTAAACCTATATTAATTTACTTTCTCCTTTTCAATAATATTTAAAATGCCCTCTTCATCCTGCCTGCAGGTCTCCACTGCTGCTCGGAAGATGGAGCACTTTTTATTTTTAGTAACAATATCTCTCATGCTGGGATGGAAGAATCTTAAACCAATTAAACACATTAGAAGATAACAGTGTGGGGGGGGTTCGTTCAAGATCTCCATTTTCTTCACTCTGGGGTATGTCCTAACACCAGCCTTTCTATCCAAGATGACAGAAATAGTGTGATAAGCTACTAACTAGGTAAGCAGTACAGCTGCTGCTTTGTCAGGTATTCCCTTGCCAAAAAATCGCTTGTGATGGGTTTTGCCTTTTTTTTTAATTCCATCACAGTTAAGTTTTATAAATGATCTCAATTTTGACTTAGGAAATTTTTTTCAGATGCCTGTTTGTTTTGAAACATTTATTTTTTTAAAAGAATGAATCTCTTGAACGTGAAGTGTTTTTTCCAATAGGATTGTGTGTATGCACTTTTAAGATTCAATGATTTGTTCTTCCCTTTTAATAATGCTTAGTTACTGGGAAAAAACTTAGGAACTGTCTAGAGTATTCTGATCCCTTAAAATATGTCTGGATCCACATATTTTAACTCTGTGTATACACTCTGAATAGCAGGCTGATTTCATTTTTTTATTTGCAGAAGTTGGAAAACCATGTCCTGAACTGGCACATGCATCTGTCTAGGCCAGAACGCGTTTGCTACATTGACATTAAACTTTTATTCATTTGATATGGAAATTACATGTGTTAGCAATGTCCAGATTGTTTAAATACAAGATATTTTCTAGGAACTGTGGCATGCATTGCTATCTGCATGCTCTCATTAGCAGGGATATAGTCTTGAGCTTTTTATTTATTCTTCAGCTTTAATTTGACAGTCAGAATACAAAGCATGTGGCAGGCTGTCCTGCATGGACTTACTCTTACAGTGGAACATCAATACAGAATAAAGTCTGATAGCACTTTATAGAAGTCTAACACCCCAAATTGTTCAGCATGGCAACGTAACTTGTATCATCTCTCTTGGACTGGATTGAGAGATAAATCCTTATAGGAAGAAGCGACAGAGGTCAGTAGTCTACAGTAGTGTTTTCTCTCACCAGAAATAGTAGGTCACTATCACTCTATAACTATGTATTTCAAGTAAGGATAACAATTAAGCTGTGAGGCTACGTATATTCTTTGAAGGGCACTTCTAATGTAATACTTTCGAAAATCGCAAACCTGATTTCAGAGTACTCCAAAAATTGGTAAGGGAAGAGGGATAGGAAGGTAAGGCATGGCAGGGAAAAAGGAAGATGGTCTACTCGTTAGAGTGCTGGGATAGCACTTGGGAGGCTGGATCAGTTCCTGTGCGATGCTGGGTTTGCTCTTCTGGTTAGTGTTTCATCTCCAGTTCAGAGGTCCTTGCCTACTGCTCAGTTTGGCACTACACAGCCTATGGCCGGACCTGTGAGCTCGTAATTCCCACTGATACTGATAGTGAACAAACAGCAAGTAAATACTTCTGAAAGGGATAATTTTTTAAAAGTAATATAGGTTTTTCATAATCAAGTGCCTAGTTTACTAAATTACTGTACTGCTAATAGTCAAGAGTGTTTGCATTGCAAGGTGTTGTGAAGATAAATGAATTTGTCAGTGAGATGCTTGGATTGTCTCATTTATTGTTTTTCCCTCGTACATGGTATTTGATAGATTGCACACTGCTTTCTATGCAAACAGCTTCACCCTGGCTAGTTTGTATGTTTATCTGTGGGAAGGTGTATCTAAAAATGGTGGATTTTTTTGGACACTTTAAATTACGGTTGGGGCGGTTCCATCCTGTGGGTTGCGTTGGCTGGGGACTTTGAGTTTTCCAGCCAGCACCAGATGAAGTGCCCAGCCCTGCTGCAGGTTCTTCTTGCCATGCTGCTGCTCACTTTCTCTCTCTGACTTGCCTGCCTACAGCCCCCGTCTCCCTTGGTTTGGTAGCTGAGGAGAGATCTCCACTTTCCAGCTTTCTGCCAGGATATGGAGGTGGCATATGGGGCCCTCCAGGGATGATGCTTTCCGTCTTCTTCCCTTTTCTCCCCTGCCTTAATCCCAGAACAAGTGGTAAATATTATGTGCTACAGAACAAGTCTAGAAGGACATGAGCAGGCTGCCCTACGCCCCTTTTTCCCGTGCTCCAAGTTTTTGCTAAGTTTTGGGAGCTGTAAGGCCATGCCTGTGTAAACGGACCCTGTGCATGCATTCCCACCTTTCTCCTCCCCCTTGCCCTTTCAGTGGGACATGGAAAGTCTGGCCAGCTTTCAGGAAGGGAAAGGCTCCTCACATCTGCACTGAAGCAGCCATCTTCCCTTCACTCCTCCACACACATAATTTTAAAACAAATGTTACCCTGTAATACAAAATTTGCTAAAGCATCTGTTTCTTCCCTGGAGCTCTGGAAAACTTTGATCAATGTGACGAGTTTGTGTGAGTCTGCCTGGAAACTGTGTATGTTAGAGGATGAGTTCAATATGCATATCTCTTGACAGCTCCTATTTATACCTACGTCAAGATCCATATTGTCCCCCTTATGTTACTCTACCTCCCCAGTCGGTTCTTTGAGCAGTTGGTCTCTCCCCTTCTCCCAGATAGTTTCCAGTATCTTGTCTAGGAAGTACTGAGTACGAAGGGTGCACTGCCATAAACCAGCAAAAGGAAACACCTGGAAAGGTGTTGGTTTGCGTGGCCTTATCTCACAGATCCTGCTCTATTTAGGCTGCTTACATTTGTGCCGGTGACTCCTCAGAGCTGCTCTGGTGAGCTGTGGAGCAGGAGGCTGCTGCGGGGCCTCGGGCTTGCTGACAGCTATATCCCTGTTCAAAATGGCATCAGGCAGGTGTGCAGGCTCCTTGTTCTGATATGTCAATGTCTGAGTTACGTTATGGGAGAGATTTTTCAAAGGTGTGCTTAAGATCATTATTAATTGTCCCTTTGAAAATGTATTTCATACCTGCCTATAACTTTAATGACTAATTCACTGATCTGGGCTTTTTGAAAACTAGCACAGCCTCACTTGCTGAGAGTGAAAAGAGAGGATCTCTCCTTGCTTAGTGCTCAGCAGCTGAAGAATTCTCGTGAGTGGCAGTTACCAGGTCAACAGCAATAGAACAACCCTTGATATTAATATTTCGTAAACTAGGAAAACAAGCTTGATCAGGTGTTTTTCTGATGTTATATAGGAAGCACTTCTTTGTCTGGCATTTTTCAAATGCTGGAGAACAGCAATTGTTTGTGTAGAATTATCTGTTATTGCTAGTAATGTTCTTGCTTCTCTGCAGCACAGTGACATTGCCTTTATCCTTTAGAAGCAATGGAAAATGATAAATGAGGTTAACAAGCTTCAGTCTGAAGTGAAAACTAAGTCTGTGACTATACAACTCTCATTGCATTCATACTGGTCAAGGGCTGGTTTGTTCATTTATTTTCTGGGAAAAAGTGTCTCTTTTCCTTGGCCTCCTGAGAATCAGAAAACATGATTGAAACTCAGCTGGAGTAGCCTATTTCAGGGCTTAGCAAAGAACAGTAGGCACAGCATTTAGGGATGTAGATAGTTTGTTTTCCTTAATTGCTTCCCAATCAGAAATTGGATGAACCTGCGGGATGCAGAAACAGGGAAAATCCTTTGGCAAGGAACAGAAGACCTGTCTGTACCTGGAGTGGAGCATGAAGGTACCGTGTGGCTTTCCTGTGCATTTTGGGGCTGGGTGGTGCTCTATGTCTGGGTCGCCAGAGCTGCCAGTTTACCCCTGCTTTGAAGGACAGATGTCCTGGCTGTGACTTCACATCTTCAGAGGCTTTCACCACAATAACCTGGGGACATGTGGAGAAGGGTGGGAGTGGATCAGTGGCTGGCAAAGGGGACAAGTTAAACAATGCTAAGCGGGGAGCGCAGCTGGGTAAGGAATGAGTGGCCAACCTTTGCTAGGTTGGTTCCAAAATGAAAAGTATAAAAATATATTGACTTTTCTCAGAATAACAACAGGGTTTAGTCAGGGTAGAGGTCAAATGGACAATCAGTGGGGAAGAAGCATACACAGTTATTACCTTGCCTGGCCACAACTGTCCTAATATTCTCCTGCACTAAATTTGACTTCTGCTTTAAAATGGCATACATGGCACATTTTCTCTGCTCTTCTGTCCCTCTACCATTGCTAGGAAGGCCTGTTGCCCTTCCACTTCTGAATTCGCTGAGTAGCAGAGGACTTCACTGTCCCTTACTCTTTCTCATTTGTGACAAAGCACTGTGATAGGTAACGTCCCCGGACAAGAGCTTTGCTTTGGCTCTGTGAAGAGTCTGACCTCACTGAATTAATTTTGAAGGCTTTTCTATTATGTGAGTACCATAGCTGATCTCCAGTAAGTGGAGTGAACTTGATCATTTAATTATGCTGGTGACATTGATGTATTTTTGGTTAAACATCAAGGACTGAGTTCTGCCTGGCACTACTAGGACTTACCTCTCCCATAAACTGGAAAATCTGTTGTGTCTGAAGGAGGCAACCAGCGTATAAAGATCCTTCTCTGCCCAGAGAGCGTACAGAAGATCTGTGGCAAAACACTGTGAGTCCAGTAGTCTTCCAGCAATATACTTGGCTTCAAAGTCAGCTTAAGGTGCAAGAGAAACAAGTTGCCTTCTCCTCCTTTGGTCCCCAGTCAACATTCATCTGCTTTATGACAAGAGCTCATTATTAGGACCAGTAGTAGGTTGTCTCAGCTCAAGAGGGGCCTGACGCCAGGAATAGAGGTTGCAGGTCAGAGCTAGAGGAAAGCAAAGCTATGACTCGGTGATTACTAAGAACATTTTCTAAGCTTTGTGTCCTTCAGCCTTGCTAACTTGTACTCCCATTCTCATACCAGTGGTAACAGCAAACAGTTCTGCCGATAGGCCTTAACAGATACTTACTCATGCTTACCATACGAGATACCTACACTAAGGAAAAGCATTCCAGCCCTTTCAAATACACCTATAGGAAAGCAATCGAAATACAACTTTCAAAAGAAATGCGGTAATTCATCAGTTCAATACTAAATTTCTTAAATTGCAGGTTAGTGATGCTGTGCCTTCTTGATATAACTGTAACATTTGGCATGCCCACAGCAGCTAACAGGAGACCTAGGAGAAATGAGGAATCAGGCTTTAGAAAGCAGAAGAAAATCAGCCAAAAGTATTCCCAATCTCCCCAGATTTTGTGCTGCAAAAGCTTCTCCTTGGATGCACGGCTAGTCTTTGAATCCTCTTCATTCTGTCTCAACAGACTGTTGCACTGCCTTGGTTCAATGCAAACTACAGAAAGGTGTGCTTTGGGGGAGAGAGGACAGCTGGAGCTGTGTCTCATGAGGGTTTGTTGTGTTGCCCCATTTCCTTCCTGCCATCTTTCTCACTTTGGCAGATCGTATCACCTCACTGTGTCTCAGATTTTTCTCACATATAAAACAGGAACCCTCACCTCCATCAGAGGAGCTTGGGGAATTAATTAAAGCATACTCTGGCGTGAGATTAATGCCCATTGTACAAGGAATTGTTAAGACCTTATCTGGTGTGCAGTTCAGTCATCCATCTAGAAGATGGATGAGTGCAAACTAGAACAGGTGCAGAGAAGAGCTATTAGGAGAAGCCACTGAAAAGATTACGGATGGGAGGATGGTCTTTCTTAGGAGAAGAGAGGAAAAAAAGCCGTTTTTGTATGGCTTAGCAAGAAAAGAAGGCTGAGATGGATAGATTATTCTCAATAAATGGGCTAAGAAAGGGGAGAGGTGTCCAACAAAGGAGGATAATCTGACTATGAATTAAAAGAAGGTGTGGGGAAATGCGGTTCTGGTACAATCCTGCAACAGAAACAGTGAGGGCAAACAGAATAATTGTTTTAAAATGAAGGCCATATGTGTCTCAAAGTCATTCAATAGTACTTGTGTTTGTGTGTTTTGTGGCCATTCAGGGCAAATCACAGTCTAGACATAGCAAACAAAGAATCAAATATGTAGCAGAGCGAATAAAATATATTCCCTTTAAACAGGACTTCTATTTGCTTTTTAAACAGGGCTTCCATTTGATTTAAGTACAGGTTTTTTTAAAAAATGAACTCTTAAGTTTCAAATAATGATACTGTATTACGACCTAAACTTTCTATTACCACTTAGATTAAATAAGAAGAATATTAATGTGGTATTGGATTGCTGCTGAAGTCTTAACGTTAAACCGCTGAAAGTAGTGCAAATCACTGCCTGAGCACCTGAAACTGGAATTAACGATCTAAACCAGCTTTTGACAGCAGGAGCTTTTCCATGTACTCAGTCGGGTCAATTCAGTGACAGTGCATTCAAAACTGGGAGGCAATCTGGGAGACGCAAATCCGTAAAGTTTTGTTTCTTCCAGTATACAAGCAAATCTTGGAGTGAGCTGCTGAGGTCTAGCACTTGTAGAATCCCCAGTGTTGTTCCCAGTCGCCACAGCCAGCTTTCATTCAGGAAATACAAATAATCCTTTCGTTATCTAAGAAAAGATGTAGTCTGAAATATAAAAGAAGTTTGGCTAAGGTAGCTTGATTTCTTACACATCCCAAATTTTTAAGGTAGTTTTATTAAACTATATGAAAACATAATGATACAGGTATTTTAATTGAATTTCAGTTTCTAACTAAATGCAGTTGGACCCAAAATTACTTGCTAAGTAAATAAGAAATGTGTCATTCATCACTTTCTAATCTAATAGAATTAAGTATCTGACTAAATGTACGTTAGCTATGTAAGTGCTTAAATAAATGTGCAGGTGTAGTATATCCTCAGGTTAACAAAAAGCAGCACTAAATTTAGGATAAAGTCTATGCTTACCTGCATTTCAGCATGTTTTAAAATGGTCCTAAATGATGAGAATGAAACTTCTTTCTCTTCTATCTTTTCAATGGAGAAAAAGAGGTATAAAAGCAAAATGAGTTTAAAATAAATAATTTCAATTAAAATTTTCTGCTTGATGGTATACATATCAATTAAAATCTCTTAGATCAGGGTTTTAAAGACTACACAGTCCTACTTGTATTAAAAGTAACCTTTTATTTGTAGTTTTACAATATTAAAGCAAACATTCTCAGCAGTCTGTCTTGGGGATGAAAGAAATGTAATTACTAAATTGCAGAAGTCATTTTACACTTAACTGCAAAGGGATGTTTATTCACAACAGGCTGTAGCCTGTACATGTGAGGGCAGTAAAGGATGGTGCCATGCAGGTTTCTATGCTGAAAAAAAAAAAAGATTAAAAATAATTAGAGAGCTTTTACATTTAAAACTCTTCCCTTACACTTTTAACTTTCTTTTTTACCTTTTTTTTTTAAACAAACTGTGGGCTGTGTACTTCTCCATGGGATAGGATGGTAGCTTACATTCCCTAACCCTCCAGCTCTCTAGATTGGTTTCATATCAAGGTCCTACTCCATTAAACTGTCCTACATTAGATGGATTTGCCTGGGGTTTGGTAGACTTTTTATTAAACAGCAGCCTGCTGTCTGCTCATGGATGTTTTGATACGTTTTCCATTTAGGAACAGTTTGGCTCATAAAGCACATGCCAGCTGTATTCCCTCCCCTCTTTATTTCTAATAAATTTACATGAAACATTTTCTAATACGCAGGAAGGATTATGTACAATCGCATCACTGAAGTATGATGGGCTTGGGAGATTTTTAGTATATTGACTCCCCCCCCATATTCGCCTGATTAGGACCTTTCAGCATATTAATCAATGCTCCCAAACTGTCCCTTCTCTTACTCCTCCACCTCTGAAAAAAGCCTTATGAAATATCTAGTAGGTACAGTTTGCCAGTTGCTGTTGGTGTCTCACCCATTGCAAGAGCCCAGATACCCCGGATTGCCAAATTACTCTCTCTCTCTTAAACTCTCTAGTTTGGTACTGACTTCACTGCCTCGGTGGGTCTCAGTGTTTGAGGAACAGGCATTTTGTATACTTTTACAGGACGACCTCAGAGCTATGTGAGACGGCTGAAACAGTGCTGCTGGGCTGAGAAATAGCCGTTTGTGGTTTGCTGGAGATGCACAGTCTGAAAGGGAAGGAGAAGTGAGAAGGGCTAACATGCTTGGTGTACTAAGCAGCCCTTCGGCTGCTTGTGATCTTCAACACACTTCCTAAAGTAGAATTTTAAGTTGCATCTCATATTTTTACCTGAAGACTTGTGTCTTTTAGTAATGAACAGCTAAGAACCAGGAGTCTGAGAGGTCAGTGTAGTATCCCTGGTTCTGTCACAAGTTTCATTCCTGGCTCTGGGCAAGATACTTAAGCAATTTGCATCTTGGATTTCACTCCTGCAAATGTAAAAACAAAGTCCTTTGTGTTTTCATTTCTCCTGCTACTATGATCTTGTACTAGCACTAATCATTATTTCAAAGTATATTATGACAGCACCTGAAGCAGCTGGGTTTGTTTTATTGTGTCCAAATAATGCTTCTTTATCTGTTTCACAGCTCGAGTTCCTAAAAAAATCTTGAAATGCAAAGCAGTGTCTCGGGAGTTAAACTTCTCCTCAGCGGAACAAATGGAAAAATTCCGACTGGAACAGAAAGTTTATTTCAAAGGGCAGTGTCTAGAAGGTATGCATCTGCTCTGTGTGCAGTCCTGCTGCAGCGCAGGGAGTGACCCCCAGCGTGGCGGGGATTAGAGAAACTAAAATGGGTGGTGATTTTGATTTTTCAGAGTAGCACTGAAGCACTCATCTTGTCAGGACTACTGGGCCACAGTATTAGGGATAGCATTTCATAAGTGTATTAACACTTCATTATGTAAGCAAAAAATCTGGGTAATCATGCTTCAGGGCATAAATCCAACGCAGGCTGCCTGAGGAAAGAAAACAGGTTATTTTAGAGTCACCCATTATGGGGATTCATGCGTCTTCCTCGGAAGCACCTAGTGCTGGCCACCACCAGACTGGAGGCCGGACTAAAGGAGCCTCTGGTTTACTTTGGTTACAGCAGTGCCACCAAGTATTGTCCGTGTGACTCCGTAGCTGCGCATCTGATCTCCCTCGCTGTAGTATTAATCTGGGGTGGAGGAGGGGGAGATAAAACATTGGGCGCCTTGCCTTTTGGGCAACCAGTTGTACGCTTAGTCTCAGCTGGATGCGGGGGATGTCTGCAGGAGGGGGAATGTGGTTTCCCTGTTCCCAATTAGGTGTGATGAAATTTCCACTGAATGCTAAGGAAGTGGCGTGGCTTTATCGTTACCATCAGCTATTTTAGAAAGGGAGTATCTGCTTTAAGAGGAGGGCAGGGTTCAGTGCAGTTTAAGCTGTACAAAGTAATTTCAATGTAAAATGTTGGCAGCACAGCAGGACAGTTTAGGGAGTTCCCCAGCCTGTCAGGTGAAAAGCAAAAGGACCATTTATGGATTTTATCTTCTTTCAAGTGCCTCTGGATCTTCTTTTTACTTTGCAGAATGGTTCTTTGAATTCGGTTTTGTGATTCCTAACTCCACAAACACTTGGCAGTCCTTGATAGAGGCAGCACCTGAATCACAGATGATGCCAGCTAACGTTTTAACGTGAGTGCCTTGGGCTTACAGAATCTGAGAGCAGGCAAAGAAAAAGCCGTGTGTGGCATTTCCTTGGGGGCCACAGTGGGAATGAAGAGAGGGAGTTGCTACCAACTCTGAATCACCGTTCACTACTGTTAGCTGTTGAGAGATAAAAGGGGCTAAGCCAACCTCATTACCTTCTTTCCCATAGGTCCAATTTGCATTGATATAGCAATAAAAGTTTGGAGAAAGTGGAACTGATCCTTTATTAGAGTTGCTTAATTTTTTTGAAAGGTGAACCGTGAAAGGATTTTAACATGCTTTGCAGCTTAATATGCCTTACATCCAGGAAAAAAAAAAAGATGTTTGGGCCGTTTTCAAATTCAGCTATTGATCACTGACTCTTGTCCAAGGTGGTTGTTTTTCATGCAATGTATCACTCATAGGAGCTGCTCTAGCGTTTGTTTCATCACTGTACCATTTTGGCAAGCTTTGTGTCTTTTACATTGGATTATAAACTATGCATTTAGTCATATAGAGTTGTATCTGGGGATAAAATACCCTTAACAGGTAGGAAACAGTCATTTTACAGTCACCTGTAATGGGATTCACACACCTTCCTCAGAAACGTCTAGTCCTGGCTGCTGTTTGCACATTGACTTCTGAGTATTATGAATAATGCACGCTGGGCATTGCTCTGAGTGTGGACAGCAAAGTACAAGCTTTGGTGGGATGACGGAAAGGGCTCCTTGAGGGAGGCCCCTGGGAAGCTGTAATCACTGACAGAACATTGCCCTCCCTGCAGTGCTAGATGGGTGCTGGCAAGCACACGAGGAGCACGTTGCCAGCAGAGACAGAAGGGTATGGGAATCCTCCTGCCAACAAGAGGCAGACAGGGAGCAGCCAGTCTCACTGCAAGGTCACTGTGTCCTCTGGAAGACCTTCCTCTCCAGCGTTTTCCCTCTCGTTCCCTGTCTGGAGGAAAGCCAGTCGCATAGAGAAGGCACCGGGATGGGAACTGCCGTCACTGATTTCTATTCACAGCACATTTCAGAGAGAGAGCGGACTCAGAAGAGAACATCGGTGTTCAAATAGTGCTCCCTGGCACAATCTGCTCAGAACCTCATAGGTGCTACACACGTCCCCGGCTCCCAGAGCTGGCAGCTTTCAGTCAGTACGGGAGGAGCCAGATTTGGGAATCGGAGTAAAGAAACAAAGGCATCTGACAAGTTGGTTTTGACCATCTCGGGAAATCAAGGCATTTTCAGGACTGGGAGTTGTGAGAGTCCAGTTCTCAAGTGACCTTGAGGATTTTCCAGTGTCCCATTCTTTCCTTGGAGTCTGTCCACTTGTAGTGGGCAGCCCAGATCTCTCTCCTATTCATGGAGGTGTCCTAAAGTCATTCTTGAGGCTTTTCAGTAGAATCACCAGGCCGAAGAAACCCAAAGGGGGTTTTGTGGCCCAAAGAAGTCAGCTTTTTTCAGCTGCCAAGACTTGGAGAGCCCCTCACTTTCTGATGTCCCAAAGACCTCATGTTTGTCTCGATGTTTCCATAGCAGGAGAGAACGGAGATGGGGTATTTGGTGCTAACAAGGCGCCCTGCGCAAAGGATTCCCGGGATGACTGAATATCAGACTGAGAACGTTCCGGGACGTTTGAATTCAAGCATTGTCCACACCACAGCAAAAACCTTACGCTCTTGCCATGTTTAGCTTTGCCAGCGTTACAGATACCACGAGCCACAGTGGAGATGGAACTGCTGCTTTGATTTTCAAGAGCCAGGTTATTTTGACATGGCCAGATCACACTGCTCAGGTGTCCAGGTGTTGTAGTGACCCCGAAGTTCTTACCTTTGTCTATCGAAATCTCAAAGTCAGCAACTTAAATCACCAGAGCTTTTGTCACGCCCAAATCTACATTTCCGTTGCACTTTGTATAAAATATGCTTGTGCGTTTGCATTTAAGCACTTCTTGAGGGAAATGACATGTTAAGTTGGTTGAAGCAGCTTGCTCAGCACTAGAGGACAGAGATGGGGAATAAAAAAAGAATTCCCATCGGTTTTCACGATTTACTGCAAGAGAGAGGGGCCTGAAGGTGCTGGGACTGCTAGTTTATTTTTAGCAATAGAAGTGAGCAGAAGTTTGCTGTTTGAGAGCACTCTGCAGCCTGCGTGGTACTGTGCCCAGAAAGGGGGCGACAAGGGAGGGATGGGGGGAACTGCTCCATGTAGGAATGCAGTGGAGAGATGATGGCCCCCAGATCAGGACACAGTGCTCATTGCGTGCGGCTCCAAACCAAAGCTCGTGTTGCGGGGGGTAAGACGTCAGCCCAGGCTTGTGAGAACATTGAGAGAAGCAGTCGTTTTCTACCGTTCATGCACTCTTCTAATACCTCTTCTTTCTCTTTTCCTTCCGCAGTGGTAATGTTATTATAGAAACCAAATTCTATGATGACGACCTTCTCGTAAGCACTTCCAGAGTGAGACTTTTCTACGTTTGAGATGGGGCTTTTTGGAGCTGTTTAGTTTTCCTCCATGCAGTTCTTGGTGCAGAACCCCCCGACTATCCAGTGGAAGACACTCCTGTAGGCGGTGACCCTGGGGACCAGCTCAACGTTGGTTGTGACCTTTGCCCATCAGTTATTTTGCTTTCTCCTCTGACAAGACCAGACCAAACCCTCAGAGACAGGACCATCTGCTCAGCGAGGCACTGGGGAATAGAGGCTGTCTCTGAACACGGGCAAACGATGGTCATGCAGAACCAATACTGTAAATTATGTTAGTCTCACCCTTTGTACTTCTCTGGATCCTGGTATAATCTCCCATTTCCACTCACACCAAACTCTCAATGCGTTTCATTTTTGGGGGATTAAGTTAACCTTTTCATTTTTCTCATGTTGTAGGTTTTTATCCTTTCACTGGATTTCTGTGTAACTGGTCCACACATCCTCTTACCCTGAACTTGTAAAATAGACTGTGATATCACCTAATGTAATTAAAACAAATTTCTCAATTAAAACATTCCTACCGTCCAAAGAAGGGAAGAAATGTTAGTTCTGTGCGTTTTCCTTTCTGTTATAAAAATGCCTTGCAGCAGGCACATACTCCTGTCACTCAAGCCAGCAGCAGATCAGGGCTTTCCACAGCCCCCATATCCTTGTGGAATTTCTCTTCCTCCAGCTGACCATGTAGGAAAGGTTTCCTGACTGCTCTGACCAAGGTTTCTCCTTGGCCTCGTTTCTGTTCGTTCATCCCTCGGGGCAGTTTGTCCTGTTTGCCCAGTCACCGCTTTCCTGAGCGGCACTGCACGCCGTTCTGCTCTTCTAAGTTCCCGGGGACACTCAAACCCCTCCGGAAAACATGTGTTCCCCTGAGCCCACCGGCATCAGCCCTGTGCTGGGCTGAGCTCCCTGAAGCACAGCTGTGGCTGCGGTTGCTGATACCAACAATCCCCACGCGTGCACGGCTTTAACGACGCACGGCGGCAATCGAGCTTCTCGGTTCTTGCTTCTCGAGCCCTACCGCTCCTCTTTCCCCTGGTCATTTGTAATTAGCTCTAGCGCATGTAAATCTCGGGAAGGGGTCATCTCCAGCTTCTGCTCTTAAACATCATCTTAAACATGATCGCTCGACACCTTGGCCAGCCTGTCTCGTGGCTGGGCTTGAGATTCTCAGGAGAATCACAGGGAGATGAAACGCATCATTTCAGATCCTGAATTCAGCCACTGGGTGTATGTGGGAGGGACACAGTGTAATTTTTTTTTTTCAGGTGAATTGAAGTTGGACCATTAATCCCCATGAGAAGAGCATTCTCCGTTGTAGCAGCTTTCTCAAGAGACCTCGCTGATGGATTTCAGCCTGCTGGATTCGCAGGGCAGAGTCTTCTCAGCAGCGTGACCCGTCCTAGGCCAGCCTTTATACAAAGGGATCAACCGAAACTGCCTTCTGCACCCAGCGTGAACGACACCCAGTGACTGTGGTCTCCGTCAAAGGGGAGAGACAAAAGGTGTCCGAAACGGAAAAATATAAAAGGTCGAGGGTCTTGAGAGCTGGTACCTCTATGTTCTAGGATAGCTGCTCTGCTAGACACGCACAGCGTGGGGCTGGCAGAGGCGGGGGGAAGGTGTCTCCTCTCGCCAAGCTGAGCTACAACCGGGTGCCGGGGGGCCCCTGCCCCCGTAGCAGAGGGATGCTCCCAGCGGGACTGAATCTAACCTGGATGCCTTTTTCAGCTTTGAATTCTCGCACCCACTTAACCTTGTCGGCGAGGAAGGCGCCTGCGGGGATGCCCTCCCTGCAGAGCCGCACACGCCGGAGGTCCCCGCGGGGGGGGGT